ATTTTTTCATGTATCTTTTAACCATTTGGACTTCTTCATTTGACAAGGCTCTGTTCAATTCATTTGCCCATTTCTTCATTGTGTCATTGATGTTTTGATAGTTTAGTTTTTTTGAGCTCCCTTTGTATTCTGGTTAACAATCCCTTCTCTGATATATAGCTAGAAAAGATTTTCTCCCATTTTGTGCATGGCCTCTTCAATTTAGAAACTATTCTTTTTGTTGTGCAGAAGCTTTTTTAGTTTCATGTAATCCCATTTGCCAGTCCTCTCTCTTAATTGCTGAGTCTCTTGAGCTCTACTGAGAAGTTATTGCCTAGGCCTATTGCTTCCAGTGTATTCCCTGCTCTTTGCTGTGCTAGCTTCAAGGCTTCAAGTCTTACATTAAAGTATTTAATCAGCATTGAGTTGGATATATTTTCAGTTTTCCACAGGCAGATATCCAGTTTTCCCAATCACATTTGTTGACGAGGCTGTCTTTTCTCCATCATATGTTTTTAGCAGTTTTGTGAAACTTAGATGGGTGCAGCTGAGTGGACTTACATACATGTCCAGGTGTTCTGTTCCACTTGTCTTCATGTCTGTTTTTGTGCCAGTACAATACTGCTGTTATTGCTATCGCTCTGTAGTACAATTTGAAGTCAGGCATTGTGATACCTCCATCGTTTCTGCTTTTCTCAGTATTGCCTTGGGTATTCATGGTCTTTTGTGGTTGCAGATGAACATTAGAGTGGATTTTTCAATCTCTGTGATGAATGTCTTGGGGTTATTTATGGGAATTGTGTTGAATATGTAGATTCCTTTTGGTAGTATAGCCATTTTTACTATGTTGATTCTACCAATTCATGAGCATGGGAAATCTTTCCATCTTTTGTAGTCTTCTTTGATTTCTTTCTTCAGTGGTTTTGAGTTTTCCCCAACTTCCCTATTCCTCATCTCAATTTTCCTACAGTTTTTTAAAGACAGTTTTATTAGTGTAAGATATTTACATAGCAGCTTTCAATGTGTATTTCCATATACACATGCACATACTATATTCCAGTTTGCTTCATTCTCTTTTCTACTCCATTCCATTTTTTAAAATAACTTACACAGGTTTCAAGGTTCCACATTCATACATTTGTTGAAAGTACACCAATCATATTCGCTCACCTTTACCCTCTTCATTTACCCCTTCTTCCCTCTAGTGTCTTCCCCTTAACATGACATGTTTTACATTCCTTTCCTTCAATGTTTAAGTGTCTGCTGTTTAGTGGGGAATTTGCCATGGTATTTTACTTGTAAATATGTTGTGTTTTAATCAGTCTAATCCCCTCCACTATTCTTCCTCACAACATTTCCCTTATCCTGTATTGTTCAACTGTTTTCAGTGTGTTGGTTGTTTCATTCTATATAATCCTTTTCTTCCTCCCTTATGTTCTCTAAGAGTCTCATTTTTGCAAATATGCTCTGTATATACTTATATGTTGATATGATTATAATTGTATTTGTATTGCATCAATCTTCCACATAGGAGAGAAAACATTTTTCCTTTGTTTTTCTAGACCTAGATAACTTCACTTAAGATAATATTCTCCAGTTCCATACATTTACCTGTGAACAACAAAATTTCATTCTTTTTCATTACTGAATAAAATTGCATTGTATATGTATAGCACATTCTATGACACTTCCTTTATCTGACATTCACATTGCTCATCTCTTTAGGATTTTTTTTTGGTGGAGCTGAGTTTTCAATTCACCAAGGCAGGGCAGCAAATGTATTTGTTGAGCTATAACTCCCAGACATGTTCTTGTCTTTAGTTGCCATATTGGGACAGGTAGCCAAATCCATTCTGATTGAGACTTCTAGAGCCCAGGATTTTTACTCTAAAACTCAGGTTTAACTTCTTTCCTGCTCATTGCATTGGCTTCCTACAAATGCTTACTTAGAGGAAGAAAAATGTTTTAGATTTGGAGAGACGGGTCTCAACCCTAGTGCCCAGGTTGTTTACAAGGTAATATTTTCCTTGGATCATACTGATATATTTGGTTTGGTGTGATTGACAGGCTCTAACAAGCATATGTTATGGTGGAGTATATACCATACATTTACTATCTCCAAGTTTCAGGTTACATATCCTTTTGACATTAATTTGCTCAGTTATAATATATTGACTGTTGTGAGGAAAGCTGTCTACACTGAGGGTATAAATGTGTGTACATGACTGTGTTTTTTTTTTAATTTTTGGGGGTTGTGGGATACTTGTTGTGGTGATATAAGATTCAGAGGGCTTCATTTCCCTGGAAGTTGTTTGAAGAGTTCTCAATTGTTTGATTTGGTTTCCTCTCTTTTCATTTATAAATACGCTTATTTCTGTTGTATACCACTCAGTTTCAATACCATTTAGGCATTCTGAGGGGTACTAGTTAATGTACAACTTTCAGGATTTGGTAAGTTATTGTATCATAGGGTGTCCCATCTATATGTTTGATTTTTTAATAAAAGATGAGGAACAAGGAAGGAACTAGATAAATAATTTATCAAAGATAAATTAAAGATATCATTCCCTTCTCAGATATAAGTCTAGGGAAGAAAAGAGGCAAATTAGGTTGAAGACCATATTATGTTCTTGTGACATTACAATGGATCATTTTAAAACTCTGGTAAAAGTCCTTTCAATGTGCAAGAGTCCTGAGAAAGGAAAATTGGATACAAATTAACTGAATCCATATAACAAGCCTTAGATTTCTGTCTTTTTTCCCTTTACTAAGACTTGGCTTACACCCTCCTCTTAGTGGTGTCTAGCTTAATTCCTAAATCTTGAGAAGGAAATTTCCAATCTTGTCTCCTCTGAGTTACAAATTTGGAAATGCAACTTTAGGATTAGGTATTGTATAGAATATGATTGAATTAGTGTTCTGAATACATAAAAAGTAATAACTTACTTTTGTATAGAAATTTGATTCAAATCTTGAAAATCTTGCAATTTTTGTTGGTCAGTCATGTAACCCCCTTGCCTCAGTTTGTTTCAATGCATCATAAATATAATTTGGATTTAATTCTCATTTATAGGTCTACTAAATTTATATTACTGTATTGATTTTTGTCTTACTTTCTACCTCAATGACATTTGGGATTTTTCCTTGGGCAAATAATGACCTTAAGATATTGACTACTTATACAATGATTTTAACTTCATCAGCAATCTGAAATTAACTATTCAAAATGAAATTAGAAATGTAAAATGAGATAAATATTTGTAAATGTATATGATCTGCAGAAATGTATAAATATCTGAGTTACTTGTAAATAAGTTAAATACTACAGCATTTGCTAAATATGAGTTCAAGTACTACTGGCTATTTAAAATTTGTGAAAACATAATACATTTGAGTCTCTTAAACTTGTAAGTAGTTGATATGTAAAAACATGTCCATGCACCATCAAGAGATATGTTTTAGCAAGTTTGAGAGCACCTATTTTAGAGGGGTAATATGTTTCTGTGAAGGAGGACACCAGTGATTGGCACAACTCATTCAATTTTGTCTTTTTCTGGTACGTTTGCCTCTTTTGCTTTTACATCATGCGACTGTTTTATGTAGCCCCCTTGGATTACAGGATGACAGGACTAATTAATATACATCTTGTGACACGGGTGAAATCTACTCCTCATTCAGCAATAATTTTCTATATGTCAAAATCCTACCTGTCCAATCCACAGTTTGAACAAGTCTGATGAACTAAACATGCTTTTCAACCTTTCCCCTTATGATCTAAAAGCTCATGTCAGCATCTTGAAGACAGATGAGGATGATGAATACACATGTAAAAATGACAAATGACATTTTTTAAAAGACAGACTAGGGATCAGAGGACCGATTCATCTCTTCTTCCCAACATGGCCACATACAATAAATCTTATTTCTCTGAAATTTCCTACTATTTATCTCCTTAACTGGCCTTATCTGTAGTGACTACCATAGCATGGACTTTCACCTCCAAACACCTGTGTAATGTGAAATGAAAATTTCATGTAAATTAGATTTTTGTCCAATTAAGGTTGATATGGAATAAGATAAAAGTAATAAAGTTTGGGTATGGTTAAGGGTCATGTATTTCCATCAATTTAAACTATGTTAAATCTATCATTTGTAAAGGGGCAATTCATTTGTTAATTGAGTTATAAAATCATCATCATCTATTTCAGTTCATGTCAGTTTTATATATCTTTCTATTTTGCTTCCAAAGCACTTTAATTTTAAAAAACTGTTTTAAGCATAGTTCATAACAGGAGCTGGCATATGTACATACCATTATTATTTTTATAACATAGCAACATTATATCTGTAGTTTAAGAAAAGTTATTTTCCTTCCAAATACTTCTCAGATCACCTGTGCATGGAAATAAGAAAGAAACTGAAAGTCTACTTTACTAGATAAATATAAAGTAGTTACCATGTATGAAGATATTTACTTAAATATACACAGACATTTATACATATATTTATATACGTATTAATTTCAAAGAAATCATATATAAGTAAATATTTTATACATATATATATTTATACATATATGCATATATATATGCAGAGAGTGGTAAATATAATACTGTGCTTCTTTTTATTCAAATTGTGCATCAACTCAACAAGACATTTCATAATATTGATTTTTATTGATACAGCAGAAACAAATCAAACTAAATTTCCCAGTAAATCCTGCAGTGATGTTTATTTTATTTTTTTGTAGAGAATGGTTTCCATCCTTTCTTCTTCTTCCTGTAGAACCACTTGGTGCTGTGCAAGTATGTTCTGGATAGGCTAGTTTCCCTGCAGTCTCTCTTTTTCTCAGCTGGAGTCCATGCAAACGTTGCAGGAGGGACGAGGTTTGAACAGCCTCAGCCTGAGAAAGATTTGTGTGGAGACTCTCCACTCTGAAGACCAGAGGAACATACAAAAAGTGTCGGTTGGCTCCAGCCTGCCTGTGTGCTTCAAGAAGCAGTGCCTGTGGTGTGTCCACCATGGTCTGGGTTCCATTTGTGCTCGACGTTCCTGCTCAGTGCACAGGTGATAGCTCTAGGATTTTCTGGGAGGGCATCTGAATGTCATTAGTTGGGATGATATTCTCTCTTCCTTCCTACAAAGGAGTTCTGTGAAATCATTAATTTTTGTCTCATTCCCTCCTTGCAGGCTTTTGGGCTGAGGTTGTGTTCACTCAGCCCCAGTCTGTGTCAGGGTCTCCTGGTCAGACAATAAACATCTCCTGTTCCCTCAGCAGTGGCAGCATCGACAACAACTATGCATCTTGGTACCAACAGCACACAGGAAGTTCCCCCAAGATGCTCATCTACAAATATAATCAAAGACCCACTGGGGTTCCCAACTTGTTCTCCGGATCCAAAGACAGCTCCTCCAACTCTGCCTCTCTTTCCATCTCTAGGCTGCAACCTGAGGATGAGGTTGATTACCACTGTCTGTCTGGTTATGACAACTATTTTACCCAGAATTCAAGACCTATGAGGAAGTGAGACGTAAACTTCCAAGAACATCTCAACCCTGTGTCTACCTTCAACCCAGGGAGAGATACTCTTTCCAGTTGTGCACTTGAATGCTAGAGTTGGAATTTTCTGTCCAATCATCCCTATAGTTTCCCAAATAAAAATTTATTTTCATATTTCCTGATGGATAACCTCCTATTCAATTGTAATCAAGTCAGGAAATAGATTTATAGAATGGAAACTTTGACAGTGTTGACTGGACCATACCTTGTGGTGGAGGATGTTTCGTGCATTGTAATATGTTTTAAATCACATTGGGCTTCCTTGCATCAGAAGTGACAGCTGTGACTTTCACCCCGAAAAATCTACATAACTTGCAAAATATAGCAAGATGAACAGTTTGTCCTAGTTTGAGAAGTATTGCATTATGAAATTGTATGTTCTGAGTTTTTAGGAATCCCTAAATTTAGAATCCATTAGCTCAATGTAAAGCAAGCTAATTTTCATTCTCTCCTTCTGCTTTTTGATGAACTACATAAAGTAGTTTTATATAACACCAATTATTGGTTCAAAAGGGGAATAACACTCAAAACAGCATGAGGTCTGTGAACATATTACCCAACCATATGGAATCTATCCACAGTAAGTCTGTGGAGTGCAAATTTTCACCAGATTATGTGTGATTAAGTTTTTAATCTTTATTCAATCCTATGAATATACAATATATTCATTTTCACTTATTTGCTCATGAATTGTTTTCCATGCATGGAATACAAAGATGAAGAAACATACGAGAACAAACTACAGCCTGTGAGTTTAGTTTTAAGCTGTATATGAGACAATAGGTAAGAGCAGCAACACACAAGTAGGCAGAGTTTTACTGTCTTTTGCCAGAATGTCTACATTCGGAGTTAGGCTCTGGCTCTCCTTGCACGTCACACACTTCCACTGCAAAATAGGTTCTCTACTCATGACCTACGAAGATTTTATTTAAAACAAATGTACAATCTCATCCCCTCACAACATCCCTTCACAGATTCTGACACACTGGGAACTACTGTGAAGTGTCATGGAGAAGTAGGACTAAAATTCCAATGTGCTAATCTATGCTGCTCATTTTTGATACTCAAATACAAATATACAGCAGTACCACACAAATCATACTTGAAATATTTGTGTGCACATACATAAACACACTTCAATTCATAAATCACACACACCCACTTCACTTTAAGAATTTTCTCCTAGATTTTTTTCAGCCAAATAATTACAAAGACTTAATCCTAACTACATAGGAGGCGGAGGTCAGGAGAATTCTTGGCCAGTCCAGGAAGGTTTATGAGGTACCATCTCCATTGAAAAAATATTGTGCACAGTGGCAAGTACCTGCACTCCAGTGATAGTGGAAAATAGAAGGACCTTGGTTTAGGCTGACCTGAGCAAAAAGTGAAACCCTATCTCCAAAATAATCAGAGCAAAATGGGCTAGAGGCATGACACAAATGGTTAAGCCTAACAACCTTGAAGCCCTGAGTTCAATGCTCAGTAACATAAAAAAGGAACGATCAATGTAATAAAAAATGACATAAGAATTGAACCAGTTCAAAAAAAATACAAATAAACAGACTCATGAAATAAGGAAGACAATGAAAGAAGAAATCGATAAAAGGAAATATAAAAAACATCAATTTGAAATTTGAGAAGTTAATAGCCACTAAGTTAAAAAACCAGAATAGTGGAAAGTTTCCTCAAAAAACTAGAGCAAGGTGAAGGCACTTTGTTAGATTTTAAACACAATGGTAGATGATATACAATATTTAGAAAATGATAAGGAAACTCATTGAAAAATATTACAAAAGAAATGACACCTGTTGTTCATAGTTAGAAGATGAAACTTAAGAGTAATGGGCATAGAAGAAGATATGCTTAAAGGAATAGAAAACATATAAAAAAAACAGGACAAATATTCCAAAATTTTGAGATTGAGACTGACATGCAGTATGAAAAGCACTTGCAATGTCAAAAATACAAGACCAGAAAGTGATTTCCACCTATCATATTATACTTAAAACATCAAACATGTAGAATGAACAAAGGATATTAAAAACTGAAAGAGAAAAGCACTGTAATGACATCACATTTTTCAACAGGCACTCTAAATCCAGGAAACTGAATTGACACATTTCAGTTCCTTAAATTAAATAATTGCCAAACTATAGTCAGCAAAGTTCTATTTCATAAATGTAGAAGTAATAAAAGTTTCTGTGGTAAACAGCAACTAACAGGATTCATGACCAATAAGCCAGCATTACAGAAGATGCTTAACAGAATCCTACACACCAGATGTGAAGATAAATACACCCACAATAATTTGTGAAACAATAAGTCTCCCTCTACGTGGAGATAAGCAAATAAGTATTAGGAAAAAATCAAACATTACAAACATTAAAAAATCACAAGAATAATAAGATAATGATCAATAACCATTTCAAGTATCAATTAATAAATAATGATCTCAATTATGCAAATAAAACATGCACAGAAATAGACTGAATTAAAAAAAAGACATAATTCTTTGCTGTCAGTAAAACAGGCACATCAGTGGCAGATAGGACTAAAATGTAAGATTCATGCCCACCAGCATCCACTGTGGAAATTAGTATGGAGGTTCCTTTAAAAACTGAAGATCAAATTATGATATCATCCTGCTATACCACATCTAGATATATATCTGAAACAGTGTAAGTCTACACACTATCAAGATACATGTACACCCATGTAACAGCAGTATTGAACAATATCTAAAATATTAAATCAGCCAAAGTACTCATCACCTGATTGTGGGTAAAGAAGTTATGGTATATATTCACAATGAGTATTATTCAGTAATAAAGAAGAAAGATATTATGATATGTTCAGGAAAATGGACAGAATTAGATATCACGTTAAGTGAATTGGCCAGACTGAGAAGGACAAACATTGAGTGTTCTCTCTTCTTTGTAGAATCTAGTCTTTAAAAAGGAAACACAAGAATAAATAGAAGTGTAAAACAGGTCCCATTAAGGCTGTGTATCAGAAGAAGGGAGGATAAGTAGGAGGTGAAGGGGGATTTAATCTGATAAAAATTTTACTCATGTTTGAAAATGCAACTATGAAAGCTTTTGAAAGGGGTGAGGAGGGAAAGGGGTGAGGAGGGATGAAGGAAAAGGAGAGAGAGGTATATTGAGTGCATGTATCAGTATCACAATGAAACCTCTTTGAACAAATAAGATATGACAATGAAAATTATCATTTTAGTTAAAAAGACTCAAATGTTTCATCTTTTCAGGGAAGGGGAGGAATGGAGAAAAATGAGGATGAAAGAATAGGGTTGATGGTCTTCATATACATAAAAGAAATAGAACAATGAGACCTCTTGTAACTGCTTCAAGTGGGATTGGGAAGGGGTGGTAGAGGGACATGGAGTGGACGATCTAACCAATGTACCATGTAAAGCTATTCAGAATTATCACCACGAATCTCTCCCTATACAAGGAATATATGCTAATAAAATGAAAAAAGAAACATATTTCTCACAAAGAAAACCTTCCATGACATGAAAGGATAGAAAAAGACATTGTAAGCACATGGAACCTATAAATGAGCAAAACTAGTAATACTTATAACTTAAAAGCAGAATTCAAATCTAATCTGAAAATATAAAGGTCACTTCACACTGATAAACAGAACAATCCATCAAGATGACATGAAATATAAACAAATACCCACCAAACATTTAGAGAACCAGTTTCATAAAATGAGCATAAAGTCACAGTCATCTAAAACAAAACAAATGATATAACTTAATGCATCACTTATACCAAGAGGAAGATAATCCAATTAAATCTGCAAAGAAACATGAGATTTAAGTGACACTGTAGATCAGAAGGACATAAATGACATGTATAGAAAATTTGACCCAACAGCCTCATTCATCACCAGCCTATGGAACTTTATTCTAAAATAATCAGAGGTTAGACCATAAAGACTTAACAAATGCAAGTTAATATAAACAATTTTATATATTTCACCAGAATGATGGAATGAAGCTAGAAATGAACAGCAAGAGAAACATCAGAAAACACAAACACAAGGAGATTTTACAAGGCACTTTAGAATGATCCATGGGATTTCGAATATATCAGAAGTGAACATAAAAATCTCTAGAATCAAACAAAAATTAATTCATATGATATCCATACCTATGTGAGAAAATGAAACTCATAAAAGGGACATTTATAGTTGTAAATGTATGCATCATAATTTAGAGCAATCTCAAAGAATTAACCTTATGATGCAGTCCAGGGTCTTAGAAAAATAAGAACAAGCCAATATCCAAATTAATAAATAGGTAAAAATAATATCAAAGATACAACTAATAAAATAGAAATTAGAATAGTCACATTCATCCGTGAAAAAATGTTTCTTTGAAAAAGGATTGTAAATCCTTGGAAAAACTAACCAAAAAAACCCAAAACTACAGAAAAACCCAAAAAATTGAAATTAGACATAAAGAATGGGTATTACAATCTTTGTCATGGGAATCCAGACAAACATTATGGAATATTTTTTAAATGTATATTCCAATTGATTGGAAAATATACAAGTAATGATACCTTCTTGAAGTATGACATACCAAACTGATTCAGAGAGATATAAAATCGTGAAAGGTTAGATAAGAAGGAATGGCCCTGAAAGAATAATAAAAAATCTCCCAACAACGTGAAAATAAATATTGGACTGATTCAATGTTGAACTCTACCAGACAAAGTAACACCAATGCTCCTCAACCTATTCACAAAATACCAATTGAAGGAAGTCATCCAAACTCAGTGTCTGAATCCAGTATGGATGTACACACACACACATACACACACACACGAAAACTTTAAGCCAATTTCCTTGATGCAAGTAAATGAAAACGTCCTCAACTAAATTCTTCTAAATTGTACCAATCAACATATTAAAAAGACCATATATATCTGGGTTCTG